CAACTCTTGACAAACAGTTTGAGCGTGTGCTAGCTTGGAGAAGCTGGAGGATGGGACCTCTACGGAAGATTATTCAATACTTCGACTATTATGAATCTGAGGAGGCAGAGGTACTCAACTGGGTAGGCACTGGTGATGTATCTAAGTGCTTTGCCATGAATTTTCTCATCTCTGTTCTTGAGAATAAGAAGGCCAACTACAAGGGCAAGGTTGTCCTCATCTCTACTCCCTCTGAAGAGCCAGTAAAACCCCTTGTAGATGAAGAGGTTGATGCTTTTGAGGCCTGGCTGTTTGCCAAGAAGGCAAAGGAATCTGTAGTTCCCTACTCTACCCCTGGGGAACCCTCTGTACCAAAAACAGAAGATCAAGCAATGATGGAACTCATTTCTGAATGGAGAACATCTCTGATGGAAGACCACGTTCTTGAGGTAATACCTTCTTCTCTTTCTGTACATATTCCAACAGAACCCCTTATTCCCAAATCTCCCTCTGTGCAAATACTCCCAACCCCCCAACAGAACACCTCTTCACAACATCAGAAACCCTCATCTGAACAGAAAACCCCCACTCCCCAAAAATCTCCAACCCCTAAATTTAAACCTTCTTCACCCTGCAAATTGTTCACTCCCGCTAAGAAAAGATCCCCTTCCCCTCCCCATCTCCTCAACGCCAAGTTTTTAAAACCCAACCTCAACAGATCATCCTCTTATCTCAACCATCTCAACAGAAATCCGCTACACCTCACAAGTCTGAGCATCAGGATACCCAACAAGCTTCTCTTCCACAACAGCAACCCCCAACTCAGCTAAAACCAGTCTGGTTCCTGAGAGATTCTGATCCTACAACCGTCTCCTCTATCTCTGCACCTCAAGGCCTCTCTAGGCATTCTACTGCCCCCAATCCCTCTTTTCGCATAAAGAAAAAGGTGATCCGGAACAGAATCCCAATTTACTCCTCCTACGAGGACTCCTCTGACATGGAGGGCTTCATTGTCAGCAAGTCCAACCAAGCTACCTCCAAGAGACAGAAGACCCCCCCTCTGACTCAACTCGAGCATGAAATGCTTGTCCAATCCCTCTCCTCTGTCCAAGAACATCACCCTTTGCCTAAGGGAAGGGGCTTAGGGCTGCCTCATTCTATTGGACAAGAGGATCAGATACCCTTCAATGATTTTGTAGCTGCAACAGAGGACTTTGGAGGACAAATGTTAGAAGGCATGAACAAGCTCATAATGATCAATGAAAAAACATTATGAGAGTCTGACACAGGTGGATGACAATGTTAAATCAGGCTTCAAGCACATGTCTGCTACTTTGACAAATGTTCTCCAGGGTTTCATGACTTCATCAAATTTCAAGATTGATGTTGTCTCTACTGAAGTGGATACTATCAAGACAATCCTATCATCCATGAATCAGACCTTGAACTCCCAACATACCACACTTACAACCATTTCCCAGGCAGTTGCATCTCTTCAGAAATTTGATTCCATTCTTCATGAAAGGTTACAAGAACTCAACACACTCTGCAAAGAGCATTCTACTCAAGGACAACTTCTTCTAGTTGCAGACAAAGAACGTTATCAGAAGATGGTCCTCTTAAAAGCCAGCAACAAAGATGTCCTCTCTGCTATCCAGAAACAACAAGGGCTGATTGAAGGCCTCACATCTGTTACTCAAACCTTGCCATAAACCCTTGAACAGATTGCCTCTACACAAGCCACAGAATTCCATAAACTCTCCCTACTGATTGGTGATCTAGATGATGCCAAAAAGGGGGAAGAAGATCCTCATCAGTCCAAACCTAGGACCACCAGAGCCTCATCATCTGCTGAACTAGCTGTGAATCCCACTCCTTATTTTGAAGCTGCCCTCCAGAAGAAAAGGCTAGCTGGTATCCCTAGACCTCCATCTCCACAAAAGAAAGGTACAAAGAAGACGAAAGCACTGAGCTTTAAAGAATGGAGACTTGGGAGGATCTCAGGTGATGACCAAAACCCAATTTGAGGAAATGAAACAGAAGATGACCTCTACACAGCAACAAAACCTTTACTTGGACCATGATGGTCATGTAAAGGTTAGACATGGTGGATCTCTAGAGGAGGCAGAATTCTGGTACCATAACAGCATCCTTCCAGGAAAGGACATTCATGAAGGTATCCTTAGCTACCTAGACTGCAAGCTCTCACCCATCTGGACTTCTTACCAGAGATCTGGAAATCTCACTAGGATAAGAGAAGAGGTGAATGCAGAGTTAAAAAGGCTACAAGGATGGGATGAACAAGCAAGAGCTGAAGCTGCAAGGGCTGATATGTAATCGGATATCCTTGTAAACTATCCTTAATAAAAGAACATCTCTGGCTTTCACTTTGTAAGGCTATTTCTCCCTATTTACCTCTTACTGCTCTTTGTCTTTTCTGTGTGCTTTGATTTAGTTTCTGCTATCTGATTGTACTGTACTCTTACTATTTTCCTATGCCAAGCTGCCCACCAAGTTTTTAATGAAAGTTTTAAACTTTAACTCTTTATGGTGAAGGCACTTCTCTGGAAATAGTTAAAGGGTTTTGGCATCATCAAAAAGGGGGAAATTGTAAGGAATATTTGTAATTAGATTTTGATGATGCTATATTAATTAGGACTTTAGAGTACCCCTCTTTTGATTTAATGTATTAGAATTTTCCTTGTAAAGTTCTTTAGTATAGTCGACTGACAGAAGGTCTCCAGAACAGAAGACCTCCTGACAGAAGACCTTTGATAAGGCTTTGTTTTAACAGAAGACCTTTGGCTCTCTGCTTCAGAACAGAAGACCTTTGGGTCTCTGTTAGCCTTTACACGGACAAAAACCCTCCTGCTTCTCTGTTGGACATTTCTTCAACAGAAACCGTCAAGAGTCTCTGATAACTTTCTCCAACAGAAGTGCTCAAGACCTTCTCTGACCAACTCTCTGCTGAAGACACCAGAACGCCTGACACTTAGAGAATTTCACCAAGTCGGTAAACCAACTGAAGATTCCTTCAACGGCTAGGAGTCTTGAACGGAAAAGCTACAGTACGCGTATTAAATGCACATTTAATGCCTCCCGTACCCTGTAGAGTAAATGCAGATGATTGGCCGCAATGTCAGGATTGCTTTATCCCAAAATAGTAACCCGCCAACTTTGTTGGGTCCTACTGGTCAAGTCAACTGCTCGCTCATTTAATGCAGTTGTCCTCCTTCTCCTCCAACGAGGAGACAACCTCAGTATAAAATATACACTACAAAGAACAACCGGATAACTTTTGCTACAACAATGCGAATACGAAAACATTCAAACGCTAAAAACGCATAGCCTTCTTGAGATTCAATATTCATCATCTTCTACAAGAGAAGGCAGACGTTGGAAAGAATCTTACTTCCAACTCAAGCAAAGTTCTAGTCGTTCTTCAACTCTTCAAGCTCTTCATCTACAATTCCCTTGTAACGAAGCAAGTTGGAGGAACCCCTGTTTTTAACAGAAACTCTGCTTTCACAAGAAGGACATCCAAGTACCTGGAACAGTGAAGTGGTGATACTTCCGGGAAAGCTCAGTGAAAGGACCATTCTTAAAGGAAGCAAGGAAGTGCATCCCATGAGACATCTACACTTGAAGAAGACGTGGAGAGCTTCTTAAGTGATAGGACTAAGACGTTGTAAACGGTCGTTTTTACAAGCTTAGTGGAACAGTGGACTAGAGGAACAAGTAGTTCCTTGAACCGCTATAAAAAGCCCTGGTGTCATTTACTTACTGCATTTATTTATCCTTTTTATTTGAACTGTTTAACTCCAAAGACTTGGTCTCTGTGTTCAGCAGAACTTGTCTTGTGAGTTAACAGAAGGCCTACTGCCTTTGCTTCTCTGAGGCTAAACTAACAGAACCCCCTACCAGAACCCCATTCGCTGCCAGTCTGTTCTGCCAACAGAACAGGCTATTTTGTTAAATCTGGTACTTAGCTTGAAAAAGTTAAAAACCAATACAGTTTATTCACCCCCCCTCTAGACTGTATCCAATACAACCGGGACCAACACTTACTGTCTTTGAGAAACTCTTCTTTTCGGTGAGCACATCTTTGGTGACATTCTTGAAAACAGAATGTCTTCTTTTGTCATAGATTGGCGTGTGCTCAATACATAATTCTTTAAACCATTAACATAAGTTGTGTTAATGGTCTGAGAATTCCAGTTTGTTTGTCTCCAGTCTTGACAGCTTTATTCCACTCAATATTTCCATCATCTTTTTGTCTTTTTGGTCCTTCCTTTCCTTTAAGAGCAGTGGTACCACTTGTGACACCATGAGGAACTCACAATAGTCTTTTGGTTATCATAAGCATCAGATGTCAATTGATGAATAATGAAATCATTAGATATTTGTTTGTTTCATGATATTGGTTGCTCTTTTCTCCCTTTATATCATTGAACCTCTTTTGAACATTCTCTGATCCCTTTTTGTGAACTGGTTGACTTCCCAAAAATGTTGTCAGCCAGAAGGGTGAGTGATAGGTTCTCTGGTATGGGAGTAAGGGTAAGGAGGATGTATGATGATGTAGAAATGTATAGTTGGTTACTGGTCCATTTGTTTAAGGAGTTGATATGGAAAATGGATGGGCCAGTAAGTGTTTTGGTTTTCTAGAGGTTAGGGACAAAATTGATATAAGTCATATTCAATTCCAATCCAGTAGTATGATCTTCATTAGTAATGACTTTAATGAGATCTCTCAATTTTTATTCCTTATAAGATTAATCTTAATCATGAGATTATCCTCTTAGTCCAGTTACAATTTGGACTTTCTGATGTTCAAGATTTTTAGTTTGTGAAAGGAATAAACTTATCTGAATGTTCTGTGAAGTGAAACATAGTTGGGATAAAGGTCTGAACATTCAAGATAAACTGAGTTACTGGAGATGTATTTGAATATACCTTAATGGATAATAGATACCCATATTGTATAAACTAGAAAGATTGAACAAGAAAGAAGGAGAAGAGAAGAAGTATTGTGTATGAATATGAATTGCGTGTTCTTTACAAACCTCCTATAAGGAGTATATATAGGGAAATCCGGGTATGGGCCTCTAATATGGGCCCGACAGACCCGGTTACATAAATGGACTAATAGTATAAAAAGCTAACTCAGTACACCCGAATAATAATAATGTACAATAATGTAAATGCTATCTACTGAGGGTACGTGGGCCATTTTTCGGGCCCAATAGTCGGCAGGCCGGGGGGTCTGGGTCCATATACTCCATCAGGAGTCCCCACTCCCTGAACCGAGAGTACTCGAGGTGAAAGGGAGTAGTTCACAATTGTATCTGCAACGTTCTTCTGTCTTTGATTTCTTCCTCTTCGGCCGGGGACCACCACCCTTGTCCATGATGGAGAAGTGCCTCGTTAAAAACCTGTACTAGGAAAAAAACCAATGGGAAAAAATCCTAATAAAAGGAAAAAGAGTACACCTAGCACCCCCAACATGAAACAATGAAGGTAAGATCCCTCCGGCATAATCAATGTTGTCTAGCTCAGCTCCTCTTCATCCGACTCAGCTTTCATTCTTGTGCATGCGTGATATTTTTTGCTCATCCAGAAACTCTGACCCCTCAGTCCCCCACTCCTTGAGGCAAGTGGAGACGAGGTGAAAATGCGTACAGTCATCTTCGTACCTACACATTTAACATACATAAAAAAAATTCTTGGGGTTTATGTTTCTGATCGGGAGTTCATCACTTTAAAAAAGTGGAAATGTGAATTGCTAATGTAATGATAAAATACTTAGTAGAGTGGATGTGTGAGCCATTCGTATGCAATGGTCGCCATTCTTGGAATGACTAAGATCGGTCTTCATGCCCGACTTGGTCGGGGCTTTGTGCCTGACTTGGTCAGGGCTTTAAATATTAGGCATTTGATCATAATTGTGTGAAAGTTTGACATTCACCCGACAAAAAGAAATGATTTAAATAAATATAAATAATACGTAGTATGAAAATTAAAGAGTACTTATCTTTTGATGGACTGAAATCCATGGGTGTTGTCGAGTTTGTGGCCCATTAGTTATGAACATCAATTTTGGGCTTGAAGTAGTCTTAGCCCGCTGATTTAGAACACGGCTTCCGGAAATGGGCTGTAAAAAGGGGCCTCTGTAGAAATTAGACCCTTGAAACAACTTTTCAAGGTCAGCCCATCCTTTTTCACATGGCCCAGAAATGTTAAACTCCCTTGACCTATCATGTGTTATACGGCCAGCCACTGCTTCTAAGTCCTGGAGATTTTCATGGCCAGGCTCCACTACCGCCAGGTATGGAGACCAAAGAGAGACGACCTGGAGATCTGAGACTTGAAGAAAAGAAGGGTACCCTGGTCATGACGCTGTCAGAGGAGCGAAGGGCATTTTGCTGGCCATTTCCGCAGTGAAACTCTGTTTGTTCTCCGTGCACGGACGTTTCTAGCCTGGAAATATCATCTGTCTTCATCGATGGCTGCCACCGGAGAGTGGATGAGGGTTCGTCAGAACTCCTGCTTCGTGCGACACCACTATGTCCCCGTCGAGATCTGGAGTGGCAACTTCTAAGGGAGCCTGTTATGGCCATTAATGGCAGAAACCTCGCACTAGCTCACCCGACTAGAGGGAGCTCTGATCGACGGCGCTGGGGTGGAGGTGGAGAACAAGCTTCGAGCGACGACCGACAACTTTTGATGGAAGGAGGAGCTGCGAGCGACACTGCTGGAGGCCATATCTCCGGGTTTGTTGGCGACGATGGCTACCATCTGGAGAGCAGCAGGCATGCGATGGCAGCTAGCAACCTCCAGCTGATGATGACTACCATGGACGGTGAAGGTGGTTTTTGGCTAAGATCTGCGAAATCCCAGTATTTTTGGATTCAGAACAGATTTTTGGCTGATTTTTTGTATTTTGGATGAATTTTTGGTTGTTTTTGGGAGGTTTTCTCACTTGATTGTGTTCAAACCTCTCAACGAGAGCACCATTTGATGGATATTAGATACCCATATTGTATAAACTAGAAAGATTGAACAAGAAAGAAGGAGAAGAGAAGAAGTATTGTGTGTGAATATGAATTGTGTGTTCTTTACAAGCCTCCTATAAGGAGTATATATAGGGAAATCCGGTCTGGACCTCTAATATGGGCCCGACAGACCCGATTACATAAATGGACTAGTAGTATAAAAGGCTAATCTAGTACACCCGAATATTAATAATGTACAATAATATAAATGCTATCTACTGAGCGTACGTGGGCCGTTGTCCGGGCCCAATAGTCGGCAGGCTGGGGGGTCTGGGTCCATATACTCCATCATACCTCTTCATGAGTATCTTTCTTTGATAGAGTTGGAGAGAACTGTGATGTCATGATAGTAGGTTTGATTTCTTTTTCTTGTTGAATAGCAGTCCCTTTCCTTGATGTGTGATAAAAGCGTGCTTTCTCCTTCCTTGTTTCTTCTTGAAGAGTATCCTTCAAAGTGTGTTCCATCTCCGCTGTCTATAAGTGATTTTGAGAAATTGGTGGTTGATCTTTTTTTCAAAGTAAGTCGGTTAAGAATCCGACTCTATGAACAACCGCTTTGATACCAATTGATGGTCCCATGTGAAGTAGAAATCTAGAGGGGGGTGGGTGAATAGACTTATACAAATCTTTTCTTTTTCAACCCTTTATCCTCAAACAGAATGTGTTCCAATCTCTTTTGAGAGATATTGAAACATACAACGGAAGTCTTGACCTCAAGAGTGTGACACTTTATAGAAACAAAGGTTGTGACCCTTTTAGTTGTAACAAAGATGGTTGGACACAACACCTTTGTGTGAAGGATTTAGACCTATTGATATAGATCTCTTTGAAGTTCGTGGGTAAGGAGTTTTGATTCACAAAAAACTTTAGAGAGTTTTCTGGACAGTGAATATGCAAGCGTTTGGGATAGTATGAAGGTGAATGAGAACTAAAATATGTGTTGGGTGCTGAATATAAAAGGTACACAAGATTTCAGATGGATTTCTGCTAAATGAATATCCCATTACACTTAGTGCCCATTCTACCCTTGGCCTAGGCGTAGATTGTGAGGTTTTTCATGAGGAACCACACTGTTCCAAGCTACTCATGTCCTCCAAGGTTTTTCACTGATGGCATTGCGCAACCAGAAGCTACTCATGTCCTTGCCTCACCTTCTGGATGATCACACACATACCAGAATGTATACACTAGCCTAGTTTACATGGATTTAAACCAGTCTACCAACTAATCTAAGCTCTATAGATGTGTATGAGTTATAAGCTATTCTAAGAGCATTAGATGAGTGGGGTGGTAACTAGAGTGGTGAAGGTGAATCAGGTAACTGGATGTGTTCATGTATACCTTGATTCCCTTCGGTTCCACTGGGTTCCAATATACCAGGGTTTTTTGCCATCTGGTGCCACACATGGTCTTCCCGCACTCCTTCTGTATTTATAGACTTTGTTGTTGAATCTCCTCCATTGGCTGAGTGATCCAATCTTGATCGTTGCTTGATCTACTTGCTTTGTTTCACTTGACTGAGGCAGTATGGTTGATTATTGTCTTCTCGTGACACGGATCATTTATCTTCACTTAACTTGATTCCTCATTTCTAGGTAAAGATAAAGATGATTTATCTTTATTTATTTAGCTCGTAGAAATTCAGTATTTAGGCCGAGTGTTGTTCAGTGCTTCCACATGATAGAATTACTTGCTTTTAGTAAGATAATTTTATAAGAATTTTTGTCACGTAATTTCTTATAATATTATTTTATATTCCTTTTGTCATTTTGACTGCAAGTGGGTCTTCTGTCTTCTTGTTTCTGTGTTAAGAGAAGAATAACATATGTCGAGTACTTAATTAGAATATCTATGAGGTCTTCTGGTCTGGTGTTAATCAGAGAACCACCTCTGTTGCTGAGGTCTTCTGATACAACCATGACAGAAGGTCTTCCAGTCTGGTGTCAATCAGAGAACCACCTTTGTTGCTGAGGTCTTCTGATATGACCATAACAGAAGGTCATAAGATGGTCTTCTTACTTAAGCATCTAATTCTCTAAGGGTTTCAGTTGACTCTTTTCGTACCTTTTCTTTTTGTTTCTTTCCTTTTTGTTTTATGGTACGTTTCTTCTCTTTTTAGTACTCTCTCTTTTTCTTGAGTACTTTATCGCTATGGAGCACATTACAAATAAAAAGAGTAGAATAAATACAAGCTCTGATCTATTACAGGGATAATATAATATTTAGCATCATCAAAACTAATATGTAATGATCATCCAAATATAGGGACCTAACATATACAAATTTTGCACATGTGAGATTCTTCCCTTCTTGATAGTTCGTGTTTGCTTGAAGATAAAATGTAAATGACTCTTTAATATCAATATTGGTAAGCACCGAACAAGTGTTATTGCTATTGCTTAAGAACACAGATTGTTCATGTGGGAGATGCAAGAAAAAGGTTTCTTCCAAAAGGTTAAATCCCCAACCTTAAGGGTCCCCACGCCCGATCCGGCAAGACTTTTTGGGAGGTTGTAAGTCACGGTGACTTAATCGGCCCAATGGTAATAGTCCTTGTACTCGTGCACATCAGAGGTCTAGCCCAGCACGCAGGAACTGTAACTTCCACACAGCCGTTGCGGGTTTCGATCCCTAGTCATTCTTCCACATTTCTCACCACTCAACCAACTGAGCTACCCGTGTGGGTAAAAAAAAGCTTTCTAGTGCTAGAGATACACCATGAATTGGTATGGAAAACAAAATGAAAAATATCTCACACGATGATGCATATCTACGCTCAAAGTATTGCTTTCTTTGAAGAAAACCCAAACTATGCCAAATTATAACATGGGATCGGCGCACCGTGCTCAAGGTGTCCCGATCCCAAAACGGTACCATTTTTGTATAAAAAACAATTAAACCTCCCTTACTCAGGATCTGTGCATCTCGATCCGCATCTGCTCTACCATGTAATTTCTTTTACTCCGCATCTGCTCATCTTCGTATCTGCTCTACTACGCCTTCATCAGTTCGCAGATGGCCGTCAAAGCCTGTCGTCGCCTTCCTTGAATTCTGATCTTGAGTTCCCATCTTTTGTTTGTGTTGATGCGCTGCTACAATGAATACCCAAGGAGAAGATTCCAGTTGGCAAAGATGGTTGGTGAAGATCAAATTGAGATGGTGAAGAAAGTGGGGATTTTGATGGGTTCGGTTGCACGCATTTTTTTCTCATCTAATTGAAGACATCTAATTTGAAGTTATATTCCTAATTTCCTACTTAAGAACTTCAACTTTTGAAATATATTTATAATGGGGACTTTGACAGCCATGAGTAAGGATTGATATGATCAAGGGGGTGTTTGGAACTGATTCTGTTTCTGCTTCTTTTTTTAAAACAGAAGCAGAATCAGAATCAATTTTCAGAAGCTGGTACCCCCAACTTCTAAAAAAATGATTCTAGGAGTAAATTAAAGCACCAGAATCACTTCTACATTTTCATCCAAACACTCCAACTTCTGCTTCTATTCCTTGAAGGAGCAGAAGCAGTTTTAAGAATTAGATCCTACACAGATGTGATATCAGGAGAAATAAGCTGGGTGCGTGGTTCCTTGGTTGGTTTGTGCGACACAACAAAGATGAAAGAAGATCATATGACATAGGTCGTTTGGATTTATTTAAAGGTGCATATTCATAAACATGAATTACATTTCAACTTGGCTAAAGTTACATTCCAATTAATATGATTTACATTTTCAACATTATTGTATCAAGTTACATTTCAATTAATCTCATTTACATTTTCTACTTTTCTCAAGTTACATAACGGATACACTCGAGTTACATGCTACTTGCCTATAGTCATATCTTGTAGCACGTGATTTACATTTGAGTGCAAGTTTCATTTTATACTACTTGAGAGAGTAAAACAAGTTACATTCGAGTGCGTGAGTTACATTTGAATACATTGGAATTACATTTCACAATAACGCGAAATACATTTCAATACAAAGGATTCTCATCATGAAAAAGTTGAGAAAAATGTAAGGGTACAGTTCACGCGGATTTTTTTTAATTTAAAACTTAAATCTGAATAGCACCATTTTATATGTGGGCGTAGGATGTTCACTGTGGGATGATCCCACAGTATAACAACTCCAAAAATATTGCTTTATATAAGTGATTTGATTAAGTATTTGATTGAAATTCTCACATTACAACATTCCATGAATTGTATGACTAATGGTCAAACTCAAATTTAAAAATTTAAAAAAGACAGCCCTTTATAAATACGTTTATAAGGCTACCTTCAATCTAGAGTTAATTATCAAAATAGGACTAAAAGTCATTCACTTTTCACAAATAGGATCAAAAAATAAACTATGTTTGCATAGGACTAATTATGTGTACCTTGGACAATTATACCCTTATAGCTATTAAAATATTTTAATTCCTAATAAAACAATAAAAAATAATAAAAAATCGTAAAAAATACTAAAAAATTAAGAAAAACATTTCGATATTAAAAATTTAATTAATTTTTTTTCAAAAAATTAAAAAAATTAAAAAAAAATTAAAAAAAAACTCAAAAAAACAAATCGCCGCCGCCTCTGCCGCCTCAGCACCACCACCTCCAGTCACCAGGGGGGAAAATGCCATGTTCATTACGAATGCCATATTTATGGCAGAAAAAAATGAAAATGTTGGCATTCGAAAAGAGAAATATGCCACTTTTTTTGCATTTTCAGAAAAAAATGACATTTTTCTAGGAAAATGGCATTTTTTCATCGGCCGGAGGTGGTGGTGCTGGGAGGTAGTACAGGCGGTGGGAAAGGCATCCATATTTTTTTAAATTTTTTTTTACCGAGTTTTACTATTTTTTATTAATTTTTTTTAAAATAAAATTATTTTAAAAACAAAGTTTTTGATTTTTTTATTTTATAAAAATTTTATAAATTTTTTAATTATATTTCTACGAATTTTTGAATTTTTTTCGAATTTATTATGAATTAAACATTTAATTATGGCTTTTGATTATTTTTAATTCATTTTTAATGGAAGGGTAAGAATGGAATGCAAAAATAGATATGTTTCCAATAGGACTCATATGGTCCTATTTTGGAATAAAAACATAGCATGTCCTATTTTAGGTTTTTGCCATAGTTTTAGTTCTATTTGAACTAATTTCTATTCAATCTAAGAGTGAATAATCCACTTTTAAGCTTTCACCCTAAAAGTCTCTATGAGGTGGGGCTACTGTAGGCATATCCATATCCTTCGGGTCTTTAGTCTGTCGCACGAATGAAAAAAAACACACACAAAAGCTTCAAGTTGGCCGCATGAAAATAAGTCACGGGCCTATATAAAGTTTAAATCTCAGTTTTTTTTAATGTAACAACTCTCTTATTTATATTTCAATATTTATAAAAGAAATAAATCAAGACTCATATTTTTTTGTTATCTTTCAAATGACACCAATATTGCATATACAATTTTTTTGCATCTTTCACTTATTTTTTCTAAAATATGTCTCAAAAAACATTTAAAAAATTAAATCCCAAATTTATGTACTTTTACATCAGAATGTTCGACTTTTTAAATTATGAATTATGAATATTCGAAAAAAATAAATTGAAAATGATTCATGTATAATTATAGAAGTAATATTTTAATTTTAAAAAAATGTTGGTTGAATATATTGACGGATCATGATTGTAGTTGTTGGGATAATGGACCGGGTTCAATACTATTGGCCAATTACACCCAAGCTTTGACCCGACCAAGCTCAGAGCACAGTCCGGCTAGCGGATATAGGTCAAGGATTATTTAATTACTTATTGGGCTGGCTGACCCATTAGGGTCTAGATTAGTTGATAAATTGGGTCAAGCCCATGTAGCACTTAATTGGTGGGCATGTTGTATACACATATAAATAGGTCACCAACCCCTTGTATTCACCTAAGCTTTTCTCAATATACTGCAATGCTGCTAGTTTCTCTAACCGAGTTATTTTCTACCAACATTGGTGCTTTCATTGAGAGTTGTTTCTCATTATTATGTAGAAATTTAGAAGAGCAAGTAGCAATACCAAGTGAGATAGCTCCAAATAATTATTATAAATCATTACAATTTCTTGAAAATCGATGAACAGTCCAAAAAACACCATCCAAAAAATTGGGACTTCTGCAAAAAAAAATGAGATCAAAATTGCCTAACAATTATCCCGTCAATCTTTAAGGAAATACAAAAAACCTACACCAAGATTTAGACTCGACATACTAGATACATCATCCATTAGTTTTGTGAGATTGTAGAGAGAGGAGAGCCAATGGCATGGGGAAACTCTAGCTGCCTCCTCCTCTTTTTCTCTTCTTTTCTTCTCTTCTTTCAATCTTCTTTGATTTCAAAAATAGAAAAACATTTTCTTAATCAGTGTTTTCAGTTTTATTCATGTGTTTCTTTCCCAACGTTGTTTGGAGGTATTATTTTCGGTAGCGAAATATCGTCCGCTAGATCCATATTTTCTGCCACTTTCGGTCGGGTGTTCTTGTGTGCTAAGAAGAGATTTGCACTGATCTCTTCATCAATAAAAACATGATTTTCTTCTGCGATGATATTGAGACGGCTCGCCCCCCCTCCTGAACCACCATCGTTCCAGGAAGATGAGATCATTTGAGTTGCTTTCTTTTCGGTGGCTGGTGAAATCGGAACAAATTCTACAGTTGGCTCCTTATAGTCAATCTACAGATAGAGTCTACTTCTTTGCGGGATTAGCGATTCGACATTTTCAATTAGAATCGTCCGTTTCTATGTCTCATCCCATTGTAGCCTTGAGCTTTATGATTGTAATGTTTCTTGTCATCTTCATTAATAATAATTAAATTATTTGTTTTTAAAAAAAATTGCCTAACAATTTTCAAATCTGGAAGCATACGGAAGAGCTACACGGATGTAAGGTGAAGGAAGCAAAGGACCCATCTGGAATGACAATCTGGTGGAGCTAATCCACCTCCTTCAGACTTCCCATGACTAGCTCTGCAACTCGATAGCCAGCAGGCCATTTCACCACCACCTCCGTCGCAGGCTCGTTGTGTCGCCATCTCCGTTAGGCTTTCCCCTCATATGGCGGTCTCCAGAGACTGCAATCCTGAAGCTGAGAAGCGCAAAACCCAGTGGCCAACTAACAGCGAAGTGTTAGTTGGCATTACCCGAATATGACATGTGCCCTATCAATGTGACTTTGATCGCTCCGCCACTGCAGCACAACAATTCACAGTGTTGCTCTCTCTCTCTCTCTCTCTCTCTCTCTCTCTCTCTCTCTCTCTCTCTCTCTCCCGATGGGACATTACCCAAATATGACATGTGCCCTGTCAAGGTGGCTTCTCACAGCAGCAGCCCCTGCACCGTTGTTCGATAGCGAATCCTTGTTCTTGGAGAAGACAGCTTCAAATTGGATACAGAGCTTCAAGCCGAAGAGATAGGTTTGGGATAATACGGGCCTAGTCCACCAAGTCAAGGGACGGTTGTCAGTGCCAATTGGTCGTGGTCACACAGCTCCGTCACGAGGTCGGGGCACAACTCGAACGACCATCAGGCGAATCCTAAAGACCTGAGGGGTACACTGGACTGCAGTCATAATGGGCGATCTGCCCATGACCGACTCGAAGGCGAGCCACGTCGTGCTCCGTTCATGAACCTGACACTGTTTGATGTTGGGGTGCAGGCGCTCCAAAAAACCACCCAAGCTCTAGAATCTTTGGTTCAAGGGTTGTAGAGGTTGGTGCCATAGGAAGAGGTGCACAAACATTCAAGTCACACCATTCTTATGGACATGGAGACATACTCCAGACGATGCCAAGACGCCTTATGATACAAAGGATTCACAGCAACGTGGAAGCACCATTGCCCAGAGGTACAAACTTTGCAACACAAAGATATTTCAGGAAGGTGTATGAGCTAGCATCGTTGCCATGGGGTGCAAACCTTGCGACGCAAAACTGTTACTCGAAGGCATTGAAGCATCGTTGCTAAAGGGGTATAGACCTTGCAACGTGGAGCTGTTAGTCGAAGGCCTGGAAGCATCGTTTCTAAGGGGTACAGACCTTGCAACACAAGTTGTTACCCGAAGGCGTAGGAGTACCGTTGCCGAGGGGGTTACAAACCTTGTAACGCGAATCCATTACACGATGGTGTGCAAGCAGCTCGGGCAGAGGGATCTTAGGGTCCATACCATCAACAACAAAGCTACAAAGTATGAAGAGAGCCATCTCCATGCTGAACCCAGCCCTGAAGTCGAAGAAATACAGGTCAACCTCGAGAGACTAGAACGAAAGTTCATGACCGAGGCAAGGTTTCCCATCGATCTTACGAGTTGAAAATCATGACGGAGAAGCTCATAGATCAAGTGCGCAGCGCAGAGCACCTTCTCAGATTCTATAGGCGTAACATCACAACCTTGTAGATCAAGTGCAGAATACTTCTCAAATTCTATGAGAGGAGCATCACAAGCTTGTAGATCAAGTATAGAACGTAGAGCGACTTACCAAGTTTCGAGGTCCTTCAGTTCTTTCATTACTTAAAAATTCCGTTTTTTAATCTTGAATTTAATAAGGTTCGACCTCACTTGAAAATGAACTGGCGACGATTAAAAAAAATAAAAATAAAAATAAAAAATATTAAAAAAAAGAGAATATACTATCACGCCCTGCCCTCGGTGTTTAGTCAACCACGGTTCGATCCTCGGGCAAAGAAATGATCAATTACTTTCTAAGTCTAAGATTAGCTGATCGGTCAGGGCGACTGAGTGACCGACCTTCGGGTCGAAAAGGTATACAAGAGGTCATGCCCCGAGCCCCTCTCGTACATCCATTGTCCGACATTGCTGTCTAAACAGCTCGCAAACTCGCTTGATCTAATCAACGGTATAATGACTGTAAGATCAGCCTTGGGGCTGAAGGTATGCGAGTAGTTGTGCCCCAAGCACCTATCGTACATTCGTTGTCTGATGTTGCTAGGCTTAACTGCCCGCATACTCGTTTGATCTGGCCATCCCCTCAGCAGATGGCGACCGTTACAGCTGCACGCTGTGGCTAGAGGGCTCACTCTTTTGCCTCATTTTGAGGAAGACCTCGGGCTGCTATTAGGACGAACAAGACGCCAAGGTTCTAGTCGGACAAACAAGACCCTAAGCTGTTAATCGGATAAACAAGACCCTAGGCTGCCAATTAGACAAACAAGACCCCATGCTTCTAATCGGACAAACAAGAAATCGGGTTAGTAAATGAACAAACAAGACCCGAACTGCTACCCAGACGAAGGAAACCAAATCCTCTAACAAGCAGTGGGGATCAACGTGGACAATTGTGCACTTGTGCAACCGGCCTTTTTGGAGCATACCTCACCTCACCATCAGCAGCAGACAGTTGAGTGACTAGCCTCTCTCGAGCATACCTCGGTTCGGCATCATCAACTGACAACTGTGCAACCGGCCTCTCCCGAGCATACCTTGGCTCGATCGCCACCACCGGCAAACAGCCGTGCAACTGCCCTTTGCGGAGCATATCTCGGCTTACCAGTAAAGCAGAACTCAATCAAGAACTGAGGGAACTTGCCTTCGTTTGCTTTATTTCAAGGTCCTGGTGTACTCTTTTTCCTTCACTAGGATTTTTTCCCACCGGGTTTTTTTCCTAGTAAGATTTTAACGAGGCACCCCCTCATCATGAACAAAGGAAGAGGGTTCCTGGTGGGAACAAGGAGGACTCCATCCTTTCACAAGCATTTGGATCAAATTCAAGGCTCGTTAATGACCGGCCGGCCGGACCAACAACCAGACCAATTCTAAAAGAGCTGAGCTACTCCCTTTTAGCCGAGTCTACTACTCGACTTACGGAGTGAGGGACTCATGTTGGGATAATGGGCCGGGTCCAAGACTATCGGCCCGTTACACCCATGCTTTGGCCCGACCAAGCTCAGAACATAGTCCAACTAGCGAATATTGGTCCGGGATTATTTACTTACTTATCGGGTTGGCTGGCCCATTAGGGTCTGGAATAGTTGATAAATCTAGCCAAACCCATGTAGTCATTAATTGGTGGGCATGTTGTATATGCATATAACTAGGCCACCAATCCCTTGTATTCACCTAAGCTGTTCTCAATATACTGAAATGATTCTAGTTTCTCTATCTGAGTTATTTGTTGGAAAATTTTAGAGTATTTTAAATGAATAATACTTTATTAATCAATTTTGCAAATAAAAGATGGTTATTTGGACATTACTTTTCAATCTTGTTATATATATTAAACACCAAATTACACCTAACGGTTGCTCTACTGCTAGCCATTATTATCATTAAAGTATACTTTAATAGTCCAACGTTCAGCTTTGGATGGACATAAGCCGTTGCTCTCAGGAGTTATAATGTGCATGGGAGCCTTTTAATCTAACAAAATTAATCCTTTTTTAAATACCAGCATTAATATGGAACGTTTCAATTTTGAGCTTTGGTTGTCTCCTGGCTCGATCAACTTTTGCTATATATAAAGTGGCTGGCTGCCATGTTTTTTTTAATGAGGAAAAAAATTTGTCCCAACTTTTACATGTTGCTGGATTAATATTTTATACTCTCGTTGTTCTGTTACCGACATAAGCCGAAGAGCTCGTTATATCTTGGGGAAAGGTTTTCGCTAGTCGAAAATACTTTCTTGAGGACAGCGTATGACACGTCTCGAGCTATATTATTATTTCTAACACTTTTTTGCAGGTTTATCCGGCCAATTCCATCAACAATCTCAAGAAAGTATTTAGCGTCGGATATGCCTGCACACATGATCTCACAAGGCATTGTCGTCGCACTCATCGCGGCTATGTTATCTTTGCATGTGTTTTGCGATTTAGACTGGTATTGGGATATATCTCTACCTATAATGTTTACTCTCTTTACTTTCCTACTTACAATAAGCCATACTTTAACATCATTTTTTAAGAAAAATGTTATTCTTTTATTTAGTGGTAAAATGACAACTATGGAAAACAACAACCCACTAAAATCAAGTTTAAACTTCGTTTGTAGTGATGATAATTTTATTGCGGTTGTTTCTCAAAGTTGTAAAACTAGTGATGTGAATGAGTGGGTGGTAGACTCCGGGGCTACCAAACATATTTGTAAAAACAAAAATGCTTTTACCTCTTATACTATTATAGGAGATGGTGAAGAGCTCGTGTACCTAGCGGACTCTAAAACCGTTAAGGTGCATGGAAAAGGGAAAGTTCTTCTGAAACTCACATCGGGGAAAACTTTTATCACTAAATGATGTGCTTCATGTGCCCGAGATTAGTACTAATTTGGTTTCCGTCTTTCTCTTGGAAAAAGTTGGGGTTAAAGTTTCTTTTGGTTGTGACAATTTTATTATGACCAAAAATGAAGTTCTTGTGGGAAATGGCTATTGTAAGAATGGACTTTTTGTGCTTAGTATTTCTGAAATATTGCATGATAATGCTTCTGTTTATTTAATTGATTCCTACGATATGTGGCATGCTAGACTAGGACATGCAAGTAACTCTTATGTTAAAATGCTAAGTGATTGTGGTTTGATTTCTTTTAAAAATAAAATGGCACTAGAAAAATGTGATGTTTGTGTTCAATCTAAACTAACCAAAAAATCTTGTCACTCCATATATAGGGAATCAGAATTGCTTAGATTAATTCACACGGATTTAGGTGATTTAAAAAATACCACGACAAGAGGCGGTAAAAAATATTATGTCACCTTTATAGATGATTTTTTCATATATACTAAAGTTTATTTGCTTAAAAATAAAGACGAGGCTTTTGATAAATTTTTAGTGTATAAATCTGAGGTAGAAAATCAATTAAATAAAAAGATTACGAGAGTTAGATCGGATAGAGGGGGTGAGTATATTTTATTTAATGATTTTTGTGAAAAAGAAGGGATTATTCATGAAATTACTCCACCATATTCACCCCAGTCTAACGAAATAGCTGAAAGAAAAAATAGGACACTAAAGGATATGATGAATGCTCTTTTAATTAGTTCTGGTGCACCTGATAATCTTTGGGGGAGGCTATTCTTTCTGCATGTCACTTACAAAATAGGATTCCTTATAAGCATAATAAGAAAACCCCTTATGAATTGTGGAAAGGTTTTGCGCCTAATTTGAAATATTTGAAAGTGTGAGGGTGTTTAGCTAAGGTCTTATTGCCTGATCCTAAGAAGAGGAAAATTGGTTCTAAGACTTCTGATTGCATGTTTATTGGTTATGCTGAATCTAGTGCTGCTTATAGTTTCCTTGTTTTGCAAAGTGATGTGCTTGAATGTGATACAATTGTTGAAACAAAAAATGCTGAATTTTTTGAAAATGTGTTTCCTTTGAAATGTGAACACAAGACCGTTGCACCATATAGTGAGTATGATCCATTACAAGGAAATGACACCTTTAATGATGAACCTTCTAGTGATAGTGAACCATTAAAAGAAAATGATTATTTTAGTGATGAACCTTCTCTTTTGAGAAGAAGTAAGAGGCCAAGGATAGAAAAGTCTTTTGGAAATGATTTTTATACATACCTTGTTAATGATGAACCTTTAACTTATTCACAAGCTATTTCTTCAAAAGAAGCTCCATTTTGGCTTGAGGCCATACAAAACGAAATTGAGTCAATCAAACAAAATAAAACTTGGATTTTAACCGATTTACCAAAAGGTTGTAAACCAATCAGATGCAAATGGATTTTTAAAAAGAAATTAAATCCGGATGGTTCAATTGATAAATATATAGCGAGGCTTGTGGCGAAAGGTTTTTCTCAAAAACAAGATGTTGATTATTTTGACACATTTGCACCGGTAACGCGTATTTCTTCTATACGAACTTTAATTGCATTGGCTTCTATTCACAAGCTTTTTGTCCATCAAATGGATGTTAAAACTGCGTTTTTAAATGGTGAGCTAGAGGAAGAAATTTATATGGTGCAACCAGAGGGTCATGTAGTTATTGGTCAGGAGCACAAAGTGTGTAAGTTGATCAAATCTTTATATGGTTTGAAACAAGCTCCAAAAAAATGGAATGAAAAATTTGATGAAGTGTTATTTGCTTATGGTTTTACCTCACTAGAAGTAGATGAGTGTGTATACACTAAATGTGAAAATGGTGTGTGCATTATTATTTGCTTATATGTGGATGATATGTTAATTTTCAGTAGCTACCTTGAGCTAATAAATGAGACAAAATCCTTTCTTGCTTCAAAATTTGTTATGAAAGACTTGGGGGAAGCAAAAGTGATTTTGGGAATGAAAGTCATAAGGAAGGATGATGGTATTATACTGTCTCAAGAGCATTTTGCTGAAAAAAATTCTAAAGAGGTTTGGACATTTCGATGTCAGCCCCGTGAGCACCCCTTATGACTCTCATATACACTTGAAAAAACATAGAGATGATCCCGAGGCTCAATATGAGTATTCCCAAATTATTGGAAGTCTATTACACTTGATGAATTATACGAGGCCCGACATAGCTTATGCTGTCAGAAGATTGAGTAGATATACTCATAATCCAAGTGGGGATCATTGGACCGCGTTGAGGCGGTTACTCAGATATTTGAGGGGTACCATTAATTATGGTATATTTTATAGTGGGTTACCCGTTGTACTAGAGGGATACAACGATGCCAACTGGGTCTCTGACTCAGATGAGATAAAATCCAACACTGGATATATATTCACCCTTGGAGGTGGTGCCATTACGTGGAAATCAACCAAACAAACTATAATTTCTAGATCCACTATGGAGTCCGAGCTTATCGCCTTGGAAGTGACTAGTAGTGAAGTGGAGTGGTTGAAAATTTTCTTAGCAGAAATTCCGGTTGGTACAAAATCAACACCATCTGTGTCTATTCATTGTGATTGCAGAAGTGTAATAGATACCGCTAGGAAAATGTGTTATAATGGAAAGAATAGACACATTTGTTTAAGACATAAAGTCATTAAACGATTATTGAAGAATGGAATTATGTCCATTAATTTTGTGAGGTCACAAGGAAATTTAGCGGATCCTTTGACAAAAGCCCTAGGACGAAAATTGATAACCGAAACATCTAAGGAAATGGGACCTGTGTCACTTTGAAACAAATGGGGATGGGAACCCAACTTGTGTGATTGGAGATCCCATGAAGCAAGTTCATATGGGTAATAAGAAATCTTCCATTTAGTTCTGCTAGTCTAACTAAAATTGCCCATTTCCATGATGTGAGATATATGCTAGAAACCACATTCTTTGAGAGGGTGAGCTAAAAGCTCTTAATGATTATCATAGCCCTTAATTTTAGGGTGGTGTGCAAAAGTGGTACACACTTGATGATATCCACCTATATGAGTGTGAGGTGGGGCCGCCTCTATGAAGCATGACAAAACTTCTAGAGCACGCATGAACATCAAGCACGTGCATGGCCTTACGGCGCACAACGGCGTAATAACGAGAAATTGTGCAGGGTGAGACACGACCGTTAAGACCCTTATTTACCAATAGTAGCTTGTTGGTTCATATAAACTATATGTTTCACCAAAATCTCGGTTTATTAAGACTTAGTCGTCTCGATTTGATTCATAGTCTACGGACACCTAACTTAAAGTCTCATTCCTTTAATCCAGCAAAAGTTTTATAAACTATCTTAAAAAATCTAAAATTTATTCATTTGAAATATGTGGGGGATTGTTGGAAAATTTTAGAGTATTTCAAATGAATAATACTTTACTAATCAATTTTGCAAATAAAAGATGGTTATTTGCACATTACTTTTCAATCTTGTTATATATATTAAACACCAAATTACACCTAACGGTTGCTCTACTGCTCGCCATTATTATCATTAAAGTATACTTTAATAGTCCAACGTTCATCTTTGGATGGACATAAGCCGTTGCTCTCAGGAGTTATAATGTGAATGGGAGCCTTTTAATCTAACAAAATTAATCCTCTTTTAAATACCAGCATTAATATGGAACGTTTCAATTTTGAGCTTTGGTTGTCTCCTGGCTCGATCAACTTTTGCTATATATAAAGTGGCCGGCTGCCATGTTTTTTTAACGAGGAAAATTTTTTATCCCAACTTTTACATGTTGCTGGATTAATATTTTATACTCTCGTTGTTCTGTTACCGACATAAGCCGAAGAGCTCGTTATATCTTGGGGAAAGGTTTTCGCTAGTCGAAAATACTTTCTTGAGGACAGCGTCTGACGCGTCTCGAGCTATATTATTATTTCTAACACTTTTTTGCAGGTTTATCCGGCCAATTCCGTCAACATTATTTTCTACCGATAGTAGTGAAAACCGATGACGAGTTTGATTTGTTGACTGATGACGAGTATTTTGCTATCTAATCACTGATGACATGACACTTGATATTTCAAAGAGTTTTAGGGGGGTGTCCTCAATAATGATTTTATTGGATTTGTAAAGATTGTGGATTTGATGGATTTTAATGGGATTTGAGGGATTTTAACAAACTCTTTGGAATTCCATATGGATTTGTATGGATTCAACTTCCTTCGACAATGGACTTCGAATCGGACAAATCTTGTTCTTCTCTATATCTTTTGAGGAATTCTATATACAGCCACAAAATTGCTATTTGCAGCCATGTAATTAAATATTAATAAATAAAAATCATTTCAAGGTCTAATTTACCCTTATGTAAATATATCACAACCTATCGCTGCTTTAATTCAACCAAATAGGTCTTTTTCTTAATCATCAATCGCACAATACGCACGCTGCCATCAACCATCTATACATCAACATTCTCGCACCTCCTCCTCATTCAAATTTGCCTTCTCGAAGGATTGGAGTAGAGCATTCAAGTTCGTTCTTCTAACCTGCGCCAAATTGTTGTTTCCAACCTTTAAATATGTGCCTCAATCAACACTGTTTATCAATAATCATCACCTCTTACTAATTGCAGTAATCATGGAAAGTGTAAGACTCTATATCCCTTTATGTTTATATGTAATGATAGAAAAGTGTAGTGATTCAAAATATCTGAATAATAATAATTCCTAAATGGGAATAAATGTAAAACAAATTGAGGTTCATTTAGTTATAAAAGTGAAATACTTCGTACTACTCATTTAATT